TAAATATATAAAATAAAACACTGTATCTGAATTTTCCACAGGTCACATGGTATAGTGTGACTTGACCTCTCTGAAATCCAAGCCCTGCCAATTGATAGTATAAAGAGGTGCCTAATCCGTTGTAGAGGGGAGCCCTGCTACACCTCCCTCCCCTTCCGAAGGAGGCAGCAGCTGAAGTTGGGCTAGCTTGCTCTATTGCCCTCCTACTTTTTGCCATGAAGAACCCAGCAAGGGGAACATCACCAAATCAAATGCTGGAACCGTGATCTTGGACTTCTCAGCCTCCAGACTGTGAAGAAATAAATTTCTATTCTTTATAAAGCACCCAGCCTCTGTATTCTGTTACAGTAGCACAAATGTACCAAGTCTCTTCACTGTCTTCAATTTTCAAGTAATATAATGTTTATAATAAACATGATCTCTTATTAACGTAATCAAAATATATGCTATGTTTAAAGACTGTTATGATCTAACATCTATTAGTATAAAATTCATGGATAACAGAATGCCTAATTAAGAATTAATAAGTTCATATTTTAAATCCCTAAGCAACAGTATTCTCATGTTTCTTATTTTATTACTTGGTATATCTGTAATCTTTTCTATCCTTATTTAAAAACAATAAATAAATTTTCTCCTATACGTATTATTTTCCTTACTTAGTCAAATTGCATTCATTCATTCATTTTTCTCATTTACTTACAATGATGAGGACATCAAGTTATAAGCCTGCCTTTTCAGGATTTTCTTCTCTAAACTTGTGAAAGGATTTTCTTCTCTAAACTTATTTTCTTTTTTTCACAACCAGTAAAAACAAGGCAGTAAATCTAGAAGTCAATATAAGTCAAATTACAACATATGCTTTGGAAGAGTTAGGTAAGAATATAAATCAAATAATTTTAAGCCAGTTAAATGCAATATTATTAAAAGGGAAGTACAAATATAACCATTATGCCCATCTGCTAAGGAAATTTCTCTAAGTGCAGCAGATATATTTATAGCAAATAAAAATCCATTTTTCCCAAGTAGAAAAGAAAATCTTTTATCACAGTATGAACTTTTTAACATTTCATGTCTATATTTTTCTCAATGATCATTTAATTTTATGCCAATATTGTTGAAAAATTATGTCTAGTACACTGCAAATTCTACCATCTGCCTGTAGAAACTTTCTGTAATATCTTCCAGAGACTAACAAATTATTCATTTCCTGAAGTTATGCCTTGGAGCTTTATAGTACATAAGGAGTATATAACAAATCAGGCAAGGTACACATTAGAGGCATGAGGTACAGTATTGGTAGATCCCTTACAGAAAAATCGGTTATGTTTTATATTTTTGGAGGTGCTTGTAAAATTTTGCATAGCTTAGCAATTTAATTTGCATGACAGTATGTAGGTTTTAGGTTGAACCAAATTTATGTATGTCAAAGACTGCCTTCCGGGACCATTTTATATCCATTTTGGGAAGGACCAGTTCATGGAACCCTTAGTGTCTTTTACTGATAAAATCCTGCTTCTCCTCACATATTTATACATTTGATGACAAAAATCTACTCTGAGCTCCCTGTTTTTCTCACATAATTTGAAATCCTTTCTTTCTGATCAAGTCATTGTGAAATCTATCTCTAGTAAATTTTCATAAATGGAAAGTTGATTTGACGACAACCGTAGCATCATTCTTTCTAAATATTGTGATAAAACTAGGCCCCCAAGGGCCCCCAGTCTTCCCTTTCTGTACCCAGAGGCAGGAGGCTTTCCTCGTTAGAAATTCACCAGTATTTGCTGAAGTGAACTCTTAACAGACAAAAGATACACAAATAACAGCAGTGGAATTGCAAGTACGCACCACACAGCAGAGCACTGAGAACGTTAGAAAAGTTCACCCATTTTTACAATAACGTGAGACACTGGAGTGTGATAGTGAAAGCAGCCCTGTGCCCCACTGTCGGGCACAAATTAGAAGCATAATCTTACACTCATGCTAGACACCAAAGCTCAGTCTTCACTTTATATTTGTGTTTAGTGTCCCATTTACATCAATCAATATGCGGTGTACACTGCATTCCTCTAGAATCCCAGGAGGAAAATCATCTTAGCATGTGTCAGTCTCTCTAAAGTACACCTTCTGCTTAGTCTACATCCAGCAACTTCAGTCTTCAGTATGTGCTTGACCAAGATGGATGTGTATTTACCAAAGGATACACATACATGTTCATAGGAGTGTTGTTAGTAATAGTAAAAGGAAACAACCCAATGTCCGTCATCAGTACAGTAAAACTAAATTGAGTGGACACTGTGCAATACAATTCTGGGCTCAGAGAAAATTAACCCAGCTGCACAAATAATCATACATTAAGAAATGAAGCTAGCCAAGATGAAGATATATAAACTGCATGATCCACTTATATAAAGTTTGAACATTATTATACGGTGCCTAAAGTCAAATGTTACCCTTTGATGGGAGCAATCATTTGGAGAATGAGTTAGGGGGGACTTTCCGGAATTTCTGTGATTTCCATATTTTCATTAGGGTACATGTCACATGGACATTTTTCACTTTAAGAAAATTCATCAAAATGAGCTTTTATGATTTGTCTACTTGCCTGTTTGTACAATATACTCCAATAACACTCTAAAAATCTGAAAATTGGGGGCTGGGGATTTAGCTCAGCGGCAAAGCGCCTGCCTGGCAAGCGCAAGGTCGTGAGTTCCGTTCCTGGTACCGGAGAAAAACCAAAATAAAAATCTGAAAATACCCAGAAACAAGCAGAAGGAATGTTTCTCCCCAAACTGCTAACTCATTTACACTGAGGGAACAGAAATACATTGAACTATCAGAAATATGAAATCCACCTTATACTTACCAGGTTGTAACTGTCCTTTGACAGTGATCTGTATCAGGATTTTTCATTTATTCAGAAACAAATTACATTCTGACTCAGGTACATGTGTTCATAGAATGGTTTTGAGTGGGCTTTGGGTGTTGAATACTTATCCAGAGCATCTTGCGTACGTGAACCCAAATCATTTGATGGAAACTTCACTGACCCAACTTGCATATATGTGGCTTTCATGCCCCCAGAGATCAAGCAAGAAAAAGAAGTCAGAGAAACTAGAATCCCATCCTACACTTCCTTCACTAAAGGTCATTTTACTTTGTTGATGAAATCTATAGAGTAACGTAGACCTCTCGTTGTCAAGGGATTTCCCATCCTGTGATCCTCTGCAGATTGCGTTTCCAGTGTTGTTACAATTATGGACATTATCAGAACTATTCACAGGAAACAATGGTTGACAGAATTAAACTGTGTCATATTTGTGTGACTGAAATGCAGAGTCATTGTTTCATCAGCTTTGCTGGCTGGGTTTTTGATCCTCTGGGAGGGTTTTGAAGCAGAGAATTCAGTGATGCTACTCCTTGTGATCAAATGTGTGTGTTCCTGATAGAAGTCTGATTCTTCCCTCTTCCCTCTAGGGCCTATTATCCACTCACATACGGATTTCAGTGTAGGGGCGATCAGGAAAGCACCATCCAGTTTCAAGTAGTAATTGTCTCTTTTGATGTGATCTGCTTTATGTAAAAATGAATGGTGATACACATCTATTGAGAAGCACAGGCCATTTTTAAAGCATTTTATAATCAGGGAAAAATTTGCCTCTTGAAGCTGTATGAAGGAAAGCTAGTCTCTCTCCACCCATCATTTATTTATTTATTAAACATTTATTTATTTACCTATCTGTTTTTGTTGTTTTGGGGATAAAAGTCAATGAATCTAGATGTCCTGGCCAAAATTTGCATAGTAAGTTGCTCAGAAGGCCAAGTCTAAGGTCATGAGTTACTTTTCTTGCGTTTGTTGCATCAGAGACTGTCTTGCCTTGTGAGGTACATATGAACCACATGCTGTGATGCAGAGTTGTGATAGAGATGACAGTGTCTTGTGCATCTTTTCAACTTCATCATTTCTTCAGCGTACCAAATCCATTTATTTGCATAAACCCAAAACACCTCATTCCAATCATTGCGGGAGACAGACACAAAGCTTCACATAAAATTCAGGACAACTTGTTCGGTAGTGCTATACACACTGTATCTTACTGAAAGAAATACATGTACCTTTACAGTTCTTTTGTTTTTCCTTAACCCCAAGAAAACTAGAGACAGGAAAATTCTACCAAATAGAAAGATGGATTAATTCTTTAAAGTGTTCTCCTATACATATTGTACTTTAATGAATAGGAAGTCTTTCTAATACACATAGGATATAACTTGAAAGTTTCTATTATACTACAGGGTTTAACTTGCCAAGTATCTTGAAAAACATTAATTTAATATATTAGTATAAGAATGTTCATTAGAAATTATCTAGTCTAGTGATTCATGGCACTGTAACCAATATTCTTCCACAGAACAAATGTCTCCGTCTTAGTTCCTTTCTCACTGAAGGGACAAAATACCCGACCCCCACAGTTAAAGGAGGAAAGGTTCACAGTAGCTCACAGTTTGTAGAGGCTTGTCTGTAGCTGGCTGGCTCCAAGGCAGAGGGGCCTGGCAGATGAGAAAGTGTTCAGGGCGTGGCAGGCATAGAGCAGAGACTTGCTTCTTCTTTCTCTTTTTATTCCATCCAGGCCACAAGCACATTCGCTGGTGCCATCCACCCTAGTTTTCAGTAAATTCATCATCCACACCCACAACTATGCTGAACTAATCAGTGTCACGCATTTGTGATCTTCGATCCTGCACCCGTGTTCTGCCATCACAAACCCGTGATTCAGTCACCTCAGAAGCCCCAACTGTGAGCGCATGAGGCTTGTGGGGACATCTAGCCACAGCCATAACCATCTTACAATTCATTGTTCATCATACTAAGTCAGCTTTACATAAAAGATAACATACTCATCGCCAATTCCAAAATATTCAGGAATATGCTATCTCTAACATTCAAATAAAAAAGGAAAATGATTTATAGTACAGTATATTTTAACATACAAGTATTTGGATCGAAAGCACTTTAGAGGATAAGATGAAGTCTTGAACCTATGTATAGAACCCTATGCACAGACTAAAGCAAGTGTGCTTGCAATGTTCACCCAAACTCATTGGTGGCATCGCCTCTGGAATATGATTTGGGGAGGGAGAGATTGTGTTATTAACAACATTAGCTTATTTTCTTGTCTTCTGACTTCTTTGTTTTTCCTGTGTTCTTTGCCTTGAGAACAAGAATCTTAAATGTTTACTGCTGTGAACTTAGTGTGCAGTAAGAATATTAGTATGCAGTATATAGTAAGAATATACCATTCCAATTACTACTGCTGTGAGACAAATTACTCCATAATGTAGTAGCTTAAAACAACAACATGGACTTCCAGGGTAAGGTCTCAGAAAATTCTTCTTAATAAAGCAGTAGCACAAGTATGTATGCATTAAAGAGAAGTGAAAACATGAGACCACACAAAGTGCAGAAAGTAAATGTTCATAAAACCATTATTCATAGAAGTCCCAAACTGGAAACAATTCAATAGCTCATCAATTTGTGAATGGATAAGCAAATATAATGTGTGTGTGCAATGGAATATTATACAACAATAAAAAGCAATGAACTACCGAGTAAAAGTTCATTAGTAATAGCCTATATTGAAAAAAATGTAGCTAAATTTCAATTTAGGAAATAAAGATTTGTGAGATGACCAGCACAATTCACTGGAAATTTTCTTTGTGTGAGTTGTCTCTAAACTTTCTAAAGTTTCTCTGAAGTTTTGATCAGCATATTCAACCACCATTAATACCTTTTAATATATTCATTTCTTGTCTTCAATCAACACCACTTTTGGTTCTTTAAATATTTACCAAGCTTTTGTTAACCAACCTGATCTATCCTGGAGAAGTACTGAGTTTAACAGAGGGTAAAGAGAAACTAAAGGTTAAAAGGAAATCTAGATTACCTTCTCAAAATTAGTGTCGGACAAGATACAATCAAATATGTGAACTTTTCAAGAAGAAATGCCTTAAGTTAAGCAATATAGACATTTTACTATGGAAAGTTTTTATTTGGGATAAACAGATGTGGCACTGGGACAGCACAGAGACGTGTCCAGTCATTCCATGGACAGGGTTGAGACTCTAAAGCACTGCACTTCCAGGTTACAGGTCTGCCACAGAGTCGCAGCCTGCTCTTCACTGGATCATCAAGCATTTCATCGGACAATGGAAGGAATTGAAGCGGGCGTTATGTGCTTCCTAAATTCTGCTTTCATTGATATCCAGTGTTTTCCAGTCTTGGTTAAACCGGAAATAATTCTCACCTTTGGAACTTTCCTGAAAAGGGAATAGCATGAGGGAAGGGAGGATTGAGAGGAAGGAAAGAGAAGGTAGAAGACAGGGTGAATATGATCAAAGCACTACATATGCATGTATGGAAATGTCATATGAAGCCCATTCATTTGCACAGTGATAAGCATTAATAATTAGAATAAAAATTACATTAAGAAAAAATGAAATAACTCATCCTGGATGCAGTTTATTTACATCATGAGACAGTGTCTCCCTAAAGTTTAATGTTGACATGAGTAACATGAGAGTGAAGAAAGACATGAAGGATTCACTTTGTGATGAGCTGAGTATGTGCCCCCATAGAAACACATTATGATGATACAATTTATAGAAAACTGAAACTGGAATGATAGCAAATGATCACTTGGTACCTTCTCTGTACCAGGCACTTTGTTCTCTGCAACCCACATCATACTCTTAGATTTTGCAACAGCTTTATGAGGTAAATACTTGCAATGCTCATTTTATAGTAAAGTAACATAAGATCAAGTTGCAAAATATCACATAGCATATTAAAGGAAAGCTGGCATCTGAATCTAGAATGATGAATTTTAGCATTTAGCCCAGAACTGAGAAATTATGTTCTTCCTCTGAGACCAACTGAGTATCCCCAAATCCCTCTGAATTACTTTCTCACCATGATCATATATGTCTTCAGTCTTTCGCTTCATCCTTAGAAGACCTCTTGATAGGAGGGCAAGATAAAAATATATAGGACCAAATTTGTCCAAGACTGCTGAGATTGGAATAATCATCTCTATTTACTGTGGTACCACAATCTGCTCTGTAAAACCTCTAAAAAGTCACTTTGACTTTTTCATATGTCTAATTGAGCAAGCCACATGTTATCTCTTCAAATTAAAAATCCATATAATGTATGTACTTTTCATAGTAGCTTTAAACTCATTGTACTTGTCAACGAACTTTTCTTCTTGTGACATTGTGTACTAATATGGTACTTATCAAAGTATAATGAATATAATTATAATACAATACTTCCACCATATGAGGCCAAGTGGCTGCTGTCTGAGAAACTGATAGGGATTATATTTCAAAGAAAAGAGGCCTATTTCCTCGGATCATCTCAAGCTCCAAGCAAGGGTGTGTAGACTGGGCTTTTGCCTTCAATAAGGAAGATCAAATAGCTTCTGCTATTTTCAGCTGGTCCTTTACAGGTGTTCTATAACACTGCCACACTACTCTGCAACATTTTTTATGGATATCATCATCCCAATAAAGTAAGTTATTTTTATTCATTCCCAAGTTTATGTGCCACTGAAGACTTACTGCCAGCTTGATTTATGAATTTCCTTTGCTCGGTTTTAGTATCAATAGAATGTATCATTCTCTTCTTTTTATTCAGAGTTTTTCTTCACATTTAAACAAGCTGTATTACATAAAAATTTTTGTGGTATTCTCCCTGAATCGGAAGCTAGGTCCACAGAGGGTGAGGGAGAGAGTTATAAAATGAAAAAACCATAATTCCAAGAAAGAAAGAAATTCTACCTGAACTATTTCAGCCTGCCATTTTACCTTAAGTCATCAAACGTTTGAGATCTTCAGGCTCCTCACGGTAATTGTAATTTATGTGCATATGGTAAATGATGTATAGCAGGGTGCTTTCAAAGAAATAAACCACTGCACAAAATGCAGAAAGCTTTGCAGTACTTTAACGAAAGATAAGATGACGTGGGCATCGGTCTTCCTCTTCTCTCCTCTTCCCAGCCGTCCTGCTTCGACAACAACAGGGACAACTCTGCCAGGAAGAAACATCTGTTTCTGCTGTGAACTCCCTCTGTCCTCATCATGCTTCAGCTTCCAATTTTACAGCGATTCTAGTTTGAACATGCAAACGTTGAAGTTCAATTTTACATACCCTCATAAATACACAGGGGTTTTCACAGAGCTAGCCATTAACCTGAAGTTGATGTGCATCAGTTTACCTGTTTTTTTTCATATTTTGCTGTAAGGAATATACACAAATGTGCTACATGTGTTAAACATCTCAATATACTCAATACAATTCTGGAATTTTTAAATCAATTTTTCATATTTATCTACATTGATGTATGAATTCAAGTTTAGTGATTTTAACTGTCATAGACAGTGTATTAAAAGTCAATATTTTATCCCCTTCACATTCATTGTAGGTTTTAATATATATAGTTAATGCTACAATAAACATACATGTCTCATTTTGCAATTCAGCAAAGAATCGTCTGGCAAACTCCAGAGTAGAAGATTTGCAAGGTCTTTACAGACCATCTCTGAATAATATCTTCTTCACTTACTCAAATTTGCTAATTCTATCTTTGGCTGTGTTTAATCTGGTATTAATATTACTCACAGATCTTTTATTTTTGGTTATGCATTTTTTTAGAAAACCTACTTGTTTTTTCATGTATGCTATGTCACTTTATAGTACTTAGTACTTACAGATATTTTTAGTGTTGTTTTAGAGTTTTCAGTCACAGCAAGTGTGATGATTAAGTTTGTGCATCAATTTGACTAGACCATGGGATGCCTAGCTAGCTGGTTAAAACTTATTTCATAGTGTGTCTATAAGGGTCTTTCTAGAAGAGATTATCACTTAAATTAGTGGATTCAGTAAAGCAGATGACCTCCTCAATGCAGATAGGAATCATCCAACCCATTGAAGGTCTGAATACAAAGGTGAAAAAGGTTGAATTAACTCCATTTGAGCTATTTTTGTCACTCTTGATTCTTAGTCCTTCATTCAAGAACACATATGATGGGCTCTTTGGCTCTCACACCTTTGAACTATGTCTCCAGCTTCCTCTTTATATTTCTTTTTTTTCTAGTATTGATGATGGAATCCAGGGCCTCACATTTATTAGGCAAATGTCCTACCGCTGAGCCATGTCTACCGGCTTCCTGATTCTCCTGCTTATGGACAATAGATTACTCAGCCTCCCTAACTGCATGAGTTCATATTTTAAGATAAAACTATTTCTAGATATGTATCTCCTCTCAGTGCCATTTCTCTTGAAAAGCCTGACTAACACAGTAAACATAGCTGTTTTATTATTTCGTGAGACATTTCCAACACTTGACATGTTTATAGGTCTGTTTTGGTTCTCTGTTGTGTTTTATATGCTTCTGATGCTTCAGCACCATGGTTCCTATTGCTTTCTATATTTATTACTTTTTGACTATGTGCTTTCTTTGTCTTTGAAAAAGTATAATGGAGACTCTACAAGAAATATGATGGGAAGAAATGCTTTCTACCTTAGAAAGTGAATGTCTTCTGCTTTTTGCATTCTCTTTGGTAAAGTACCTACCACTTTTACCAGTCAGGGAAGAAGCTAAAAAGAGTTGAGTTGATAATAACTCAGTCCACTCAAGTGATGCAAATTTGAGCTAAAAATGTACACGGTGTTAAGAACCATTAATTTCCTCTACTCTTCTGCTCAATGTAAAAACAGCTCCTTGTGATGCCTTGAAGTTAGGGGCATAGGAAAGGTTTATTTCTAACTCACTTTTCTCTAAATTTGTGACTATATGGGGTCCTAGTTTAATATAACATTAATGTGGTACTAGATCAATTTACTTGTTTCCCATACGTAAAGTCCACATGAAATAAATTCCAAGATTGTCAAATTATATCTGGGGTAAGGCAGCTCAGCTATTATTTACTTACCTTTCTGGATTGGTCTAGCTTTGAACCTGATAATATTTTACTACTTAGATTGGACAGGGATATTTTTTTAAGTATTTCTACCCAATATTTTAAATTTTTTTCAGTAGCAGGGTAAGACTAAATAATCTAATACTCTCTATGTTATAATTTGAACATATTGAAGTATGTACAGATCTGATAGCTAATAATAATATTTCTGTAGGCTCACAATCTTGTCTCATATGCTGAATAATTTTTCCAAATAGGAGCTAATTTCCTTGGAATTTTATCAGTAAGAGTAATTTGAGGATTAGTTTACAATATGTTTTAGTGGAGAGTATTGGTGTTTGCTTTGGACAGATTCTGCAGGATGCTTCCAACCTGGCATAACTATAAATTAAATTTTCAACACAAAGTTTTAAGGGTCACACATGCAGTATGAATTCCACTCACAGCTCTAACTATGGGTTTAAAGTAAGTAAATGTTCCTACTATTGACACGGCAGATGTTGACACAGGTAGTTCTTCTCCTGTTGCTCTGAACTTCTCACATACTGCAGGTGCCTAGTTAAGGGAGTCTCGTTGATTTGCGCTCACACTGCCTGAGCTGTAGCCCACCAGAAGACTGGCACATCTTTTAGATCCAAAGCCGCCTCCGACACTGCCCTAACTCAGAGAGCTGCCCTTTCCCTTCTGACTGCTGACTCTTTCTTTCTCATCCATGTTATTAAAAACGTTTTATTTTAAATGTGTCATTTGTATATGTTCTATGATGCAAGGTATTTCTCTACACCTAACAGTGAGTCACATTCTGAAAAATGGAATGCACCACATGGTCCCAAGTCTTCCTGCCTCGTTGCCTTCTTTGTTTCTGCCTGGCAGTCCCGACTGTTCGTTTCTGTATGCCGGCCGTCACGTTTACAACAGCCCTCCACTCAGTAAACACTGAGTTAAGGAAATTATTGAAAAATGATCAAACAAAATGAGTTAGTTCTTTTGCTAAATAGAAACTGTGTGTCTTAATACAAGTTTAGTATATGAAAAATAAATTCCATGATCAGTTTTTAATTTTCGATTTTATACATCCTATGCATTTACAAAGCTAACAACTGAACCAATTACTTTTTGAGCTATGCAGTATTTTCTATTACATTATATGCAGCAATATAGTTACATATAACCTTAAAATGTAACCTTAAGTATTATAAATATTCATTTAACTTTCACTGTTTGTTATAATTTTTCAGTCTTCCCTTTATCAACATAGTCATTAGGTAATATTGTGGATTAAGCAATAGCTTCAGTGGATTTGTAGTGATAAGCAGTTGAAAACTTGATGCGATCCACCCATTTAACACTGTTAATCTCAGTCCAAATGCAAATTTGCTGTCTGAAACAATGTTCAACTGCTAATAGACATGTGATTTATGCTCAGTCAAGTCTATGCATGGTCAGCAGTGATGAGTTTTTAAATGTGAGAGTAATAAACAGAGGCATAAACTTTCTACTCAGAAACCCAAAGGAAGCATAATTCCCAAGAAAAAGTGAAGAATAATAGAATGATCCCCTTCAAAAGTTAGGTAAAGTGTAATATAGAAAACACTACTAAATCATCAAAGAGGTTCTTGGGGACTTTATTCTCATGAAATCATGAGAATTCCAAGGAACAGACTTGGGATTCGCTGCCATAGGCCTCCTGTTCCAAGATAATCAAACCAGCTTTAAGATATCTTAATTGAACACTCACAGTCTGTACTCACTCAAATAAAAAAACTTTTTCCAACTAACTAGAATGGGTAAGATTTAGGCATGAACTTACTCAGTGTATTTATCTCAAAAATATTTAATGAGACTTATGTTCTAATTGAAATATGCAAATGAAAATTAGGTGAACTGGTTGATTTTGACAATTTACTACACTTCTTTGCCCTTCATTAGAATATAAATGCTGTATTGCTGGACATTTTTTATTTTTATTTTGTTTTTTTTTTCTTCTTCTGGTACCAGGAATCGAACCCATGACCTTGTGCTTGCTAGGCAAGTGCTTTGCTGCTGAGCTCAATCCCCAGCCCCTGCTGGACATTTTTTAAAACAAAGAAAACATGACTGTCTCCAGGGCCCATCTTTCATGTAAACATGAACTCAGCGCCGAACAGAACATTTGAGTCCTTATAGTTCATTAGTGGGAATACAACCGGGTAAGGGTCTTGTGGGAATTCGTTCAAGGTCTGGCTTGTTGCTTCACCCAACCTTAATCTTCCAGACAGTTGTATTTGTCTCTCTGTAATCAAAGAAATAAAAGCTTCTACACCATCATCTCTCCTTCAGAAGAAAATAAAAAATGAGAGCAGGCTTATAAAAACAAGGATATTTTAAGACAGCGATACTTGACTTTTCCTGCATAAGTGAGAATTTCCTGTTGAGAGAGTTGACAAAGTGGGCTTGAGGCGGCTTTCCTGTAATTAATTTTCTTTGTGTGTGAATTTAATACTGATGCAAAGGTGCTGCTCATTTGACAACCCCAAGGTTTAATGTCTAACCACCCAACAGGAAAGGGAGAACACGGCTTCCCAGAATTCCTCCTTAATTAGCTTCAGCCCCCACTCCATGGTACTCATCCACTCATCGAAAGCTGCTAATTGTTATCAACTGAATGATTTTCAGGATGAAATCAATACCTAGGAAGAATACAACTCATTTACATTGCTTGTTGAACAGCGAGGTGACAAGCAGTGTTCATACTCATGACTCCAGGCGAGATTTGAACTTGCAGTAAATAGAGGTGGCATTATGTTGCTCAAAGAGCGTTGAACTCTAAATAACAATGACTGAATTCTTGTTCTACCTGATTGTGGATAAATTAAATTAACTGAGGGCTAGGAGGCTTCGTTTCTTCCATGACAAAATACAGACGAGGTCAAAGTCTTCTCCAATACTAAATAACTTTTTTAAAATTATCGATTCAAAGGCACTAATCAAACTGCATGGTTTACTACGAGAGAGTGGGATGTAAAACTATATATTTGGAATATCGCAATCATTGTGCCAAGTATGTCTTTTCTTTAATCTTTAAGAGCTGTGGGGGAAGTAAGAACTTGAGAAATATCTGCCTCTATTTTATTTTCTTCTATTCTGCACTTAGCTTTTCCAGTGAAACTAGCTGAGATATTTGAGAATATAAAGGGTTTTGGATGA